TTTTTATGCCTTTCGAATAGTCGTCTAAGGTTTCAACTTTACCCTATCACACATCTACGACGTTATTTATATTTAGGCCAAGGAAAGTGATTTAAAGTGACTCTTGCATGATCTTTTTATTCATCCTCTTGTTTACTAAGAACTAGGATATTTTTTCCCAGTCGGAAACATTTTACAGAAGAACAAGCAGAGAAGTGGTGGGCAGAAAATGGAAGTAAAGTATGTGAACGGCACAGCATCCGGAGTTCAGTGTGACATTCAGGATGGCAATTCCCTTCCAGGAAAGGGAGGGGCTTTATTGACTGAGGTTACCATTTGCCATGACACAGAGTCTCCACTGAAATTGTAAATTTTTTTTTCTCCAATTACAGTGGAGTTTTCCCAGGGATGCTGGGTTGAAAACCAGTAGGTAGTCTCAGAAACAGTGGTAAGACAAAAACAACCGTAGGTAGAGTATATAAAAGAAGAATATGTATACAGACAAGCATTCTAAAGAATGTTGGTTCTAAATTTCCACTTACCCAAAAATCAGTTACTGAAAATTCATTTTTTTTAATTTAGAGTGAATTGTTCATCATTTTTTCAAAGCATATTTATGTGAGATATCAGCAAATTGCTATCTGACAAAATCGCAAGCATATTTATGTGTGTCCTAGTGATTTTCTTCTTCCATCCTTGAGAAAAGAATTCGCTTGATAGAAAATCATTGTCATCTTCTTTATAGACCGAAGATGTGTGTATATATATGTATATAAAAATTCACACAGACAGAATCGATTTTAACTAATAATTTTTTACCTCCTTTTGTGTACAACTAAAGCAAAATTTTTGCCACGTGGAGGGTGATCTCAATCTTTGCCATGCCACCAATTCATAACTTCAAACCTTTAGCAGCCTGAGCTTGAAGGCATTAACAACCATGCTTCTTCAATTCTCAAGTCTTAAACACCCATTTCAATGGTGCTACATCCAGCTTCCTTCTTCCCAAGTGACCTATTTGCAGTATCCTTCTCCTCTTCCAATCTCCTTTGATCTGCCAATCTTCCAGCAATTGCATAAGTTCCAAATAGAAGCATTAAGTCAGCAGGCAGTGCATCATCAAGTTTGTCCAACACACTTTTCACTCTTTCACCTAAACTGACATCTCCATATACTCTACAAGCTGCAAGTAAAGATCGCCATGCAGTAGAATCGTCTTTAATAGGTAGCTTTGTTATTAGATTATATGCTTCCTTTAGCAACCCTGCACGGCCTAAAAGATCAATAACACATCCATAGTGTTCTACCTTGGGCATAAAACCATACTCCTGAACCATCCTCTCAAAACATCTCATGCCCTCCACCACCATCCCTCCATGGCTGCAGGCATTTAAAACTGCCAAAAAAGTTACCTCATTAGGTCTACATCCTTTTCTTTCCATCTTATAGAACAGTTCAATTGCATTTCCTGCCAACCCATGAGTCCCATAACCCGAAATCATGGCTGTCCAAGATTTAACATCCTTACTACTCATCTTCTTGAAAATGTCAACAGCCTTTTCCAAAAACCCAAATTTAGCATACATATCAACCAGAGAGGTTCCAAGAACTGCATCCAAAGCCAATTCCTCCTCTTCGACATAATCTCCAATTCGTCGGCCTACATCAGCGGAACCAGAAGCAGCACAAGCAGATAGCAAACCTACCAATGTAGATGAATTCGGTTTCACTTTTTCACATCTCATTTGCTCTAGAAGAGCTACAGACTCCTCAAGCAGGCCACTTTTGGCAAACTTATCTATCATACAATTCCATATGATAACATCCTTTGCAGTAACATTGTCAAAAATGCTACGCACTAAATCGATATGCCCGATTCTAGCATACATATCAATCAAAGCAGTGACCACATTTAGATCAAAAAGCAAAGCTGTCTTAATGCATTGGGCGTGAAGAGACTCCCCTCCAAATGAGTCTTCCAGATCACCAATGGCTGACAAAATGCTCAGCAATGCAGTAACACTGACTCCCAAACCACTCCTGTACATTTCCTTGAACAAAATTGTAACTACATTAGGTTGAGAGACATGAAGATACCCTCTCATCAAAGTGTTCCATGACACCAAATCATTCCATTGAGGAAATTCATCGAACAGCTTATGGGCATTTTCAATCTGACCACAAAGAGCATAAACATGCAACAGAGTATTCTTTACGTTAATAAACAACAGATGCCCAGATCTCAAAACAATCCCGTGAATCCCCTGACCGGTCTCAATGGATGATTCACGAGCACAAGATTTAAGAGTTGCGACAAAAGAAAACTGGTCCAACGTAAATCCTTGTGCTCTCAAGTCACTGAAGACACCAAAAGCTTGTTTCGGGTTATGGCTGATTGAGTAGGCTCTAAGCATGGTATTAAAGACGAAGAGATTTCGGTTCTGAATATGCTTAAATATGGAGGCAGCATATTGGATGTCTTGTATGGAAACAGCAAGGAGCTTGCTCAAAGCGAAAGAGTCCTGGTGAAAACCAGCCTTGATCATAAAGCCATGAATTTGAGAGACTTGATTGGTATTCTCGCACGATTTCAATGCAGAAAGAAGGTTTTGGTATTGCAGGGATGTAGAACTGTGTATTGGGTAAAGATTTTTGCGCCAAAGCTTGAAATTTTGAGTCAAGAATAACGAACTGGCTAAGCTCATGGGCTGCGGCCAGAAGCAGTGACTGAATTTTGAACGACCGCGTTAAGGATGTTGTAGCTAAATCGCCGTCGAGACCCAACTGTTTCTTTTGGCATACTCAGCACTTTTATATCTGCTTCATCTTTATTCGTCGAAAGCAAGACCAAGAATCGTGGAGTTTACTGAGATTAGCTT